TGAATGAGACTGATTTCCAATGAAAACAGTTTATAAATACTTATTAACATGGTTTCGTGTGAAAGTTTTTATTCTCGTGTCATGGAATTTGCAAAAAATGGCTTTTGCAATCAAATGAAGTTATTGAATGCAAACTTCTTGTCACCTTTTACAGGAGAAATCTGTAATTTTCTCTAAAAATTTTGATTTTGATTAATATCAGTGACAATGAGAAATTATGTTCAGTTTAGTTCAAAAATATTCAAAAGTGAAAAATGTTGTATTCAAATTTTGGTTTTTGAATAATGGAATTCAATTGCTAAGAGCTGTTTACGATTGCTACATGTATTGTTTGTTAAGTAATAAATTAACATTATTAATAAAGTGTACTTTGTTGCCAATCAATGTATTTCACTAATATAAAATTAAAAATGGAGAGATTGTTCCATAAAAAGTTTTTTTTAAGTCTAAACTACTATTATTTTTTTCAATTTTTTTTCACTGCTAAAAAAATTAATATAAAAATATATGCAAAATAACTTTTTTCTAAATAATAGAATTAAGATAAATGAAAGACCTGCAGGATCACAATACTGTGACCATGGCAACAATATCAGTTAGCTGATGATCGCTAATAGATTGTCCAAGAGTAATCTTTTTCATCATCAGTATGGTATTGTGTCTCATTTCACACCATACATTTTACATAATTCACATAGACATTGTTGTACATGGCAAGTTAAGGTAGGGTTATATTTTGCTGTGAAAATCATTGTATTTGTAGTTGTCTTCCAAGGAACGATGCTGTGATTCTGTGTTAAGTGTATGCACATGTCTGTGAATACGTCTGTCTGCGTTCATAGATCAATTGTACATAATACATGTATGGTAGGAAATGGTTTACGTGACGCAGTTCTCACAAAAACTCTGCATCAATAGTGGTTAGACATATGGCAACTGACTGTGGTGAATAGCTGCGTTAAAAACCATAATGACCGGCTTTTGAGGAGGTGTTTTCAAATCCATTGTGCCCACACACATAAGGCAACTCATGAATCATTGCATGCATTATTCTGTACGTTGCCTCATTACTTGCCTTGCGTAAACCAACATGTAAATTTTGTGTACGTAGACATTATTTTTTTTTTATGTATTTTAATCTTGTTGTGTACATTGCACAGAAAACATAATTTTGCATAAATTTGAGTCAATTTCCAGTTTTTACTCAAAAAATTTGGCTTTTCTGGCCCAATTTTAGTAGTTTCTCTTGTCAAAAAAAAAAGTATTTAATGATCTTTGGTTTCATGAATATATTACATCAATATACACCAATTGTACTATTTTAATATCATTTCAACATAATCAGTCCTTTTCAAAATTTGCTCATTTCAGATCATTTCTCAGAATTCAAAAACTGTTGTTTGAAATTTGAAAGGATTACGTACATATTCTATTTTGACAAAATATAGAAAAAAAGTGACAATGCTGATCGAAATGAATACAAGTGTCAATTCATGAATGTTGAACATATTTTTATAATTTTTCCAATTCAAATTTCTGCTTCAGAAATATTAGACTATCGTATTTGCACATCAGCATTTATTTTTCACACTTCCTATATCACGTAAATTCACATTTTTACAATTTTTTTACTCCTGCTTTGTGCACTTGCTATTAATGATATGGAGTTTTCAGAAAGACATGATCTACTATTTACCCATGCGAGTAGACATTTTTATGTTTTTCTATTATTATTATTCTTCAATTATAATGCTTTAAAAATAAGTCTTCATCTGGCAGTGCAGTTGAAGTGCAACGTCACTTAGTCTTGCCCTGTGGCTTAAATCTTGCTTTTTTGGAAAATTGATACGTATTATTTAATCTGATTTGTACAGTAAAAGATAAACATTGCCGGTGTATCGTCTGTGACAGTCGCTTAAGAAGGTTTGAATTTGCATTTTAGCAATGGTTTTCATGATGAAATTATTTCGTCATATCTCAAACTTTTGCTCAGTGATATGAATAATTATTAAAACATTTGAAAAAAATATATATTCCTAATGTAGTTTTCTATTATACTGTAAATTTATTTTTTAAAGGAATTAATAAGTATATTTTACATTACATTTTCTATATTTTACATTTAAGTCATCAAAAATCAGTGAAAATAAATTTTTACAAAACACCCAAAATGTCTTTTCATTGAATATTAATTCCAGCTAAAAATAAAGTATATTACACCGAAGTACACAAGCCCTAGCAGCACAAGCACATT